AGAAAATGAAGACGGTGATGAACAATACGAAGATGATTATCAGTGTACAGTATATTTTTGGCAAGGTAGAGATGCCGGAAATATGGGTTGGCTTACATTTACATTTAGGTATGAATAAATTTCTTACTGTATAATAAGAAAACGTATAAATAACATATATTTAAAAAAAAAAATAAAATATTTTCAGTTTACAAAAAAAATTTAAGTCATTGTTTGGTGAAAATTTAGAAGTAGTTAGAACACATCAACAACAAGAGAATTTAAAATTCATGGCTTATTTCAAAAGGAAATTTATAATTCATCAAGGTAAACGTAAACAACCAAAAGTTCCTGGTACAAGCAAAGTCGAATTTTATCATTTACGAAGTAATGGTAGTGCATTATGCACTAGATTAATACAAATACCTGCAGATTCCAGTTTATTAAACTCTGCATTTTGGTAAGTAATAAAATCTTGCAATTTTTTCATTCATATAAAATCAAAAAGTTTGATTTCTTATAATCTCCTAATTCAATTTTTAATTATTTTTCAGTTACATTCTAAATGTACCATTTAATAATGATGACGAAACTGGAATAGTTTATGCATGGATTGGTTCTAAATCAGATAGTGATGAAGCACGTTTAATTCAAGAAATTGCTGAAGAAATGTTTAACAATGTAGGTTTTTAATTTTCACAAATAATATAATTTAAAGTAATTAAATTAATTTGAAGTATATAATCGAAAGAATTTAAGTCAAATATTATAATTTTAAACAGCCTTGGATTAGTTTGCAAGTATTAAATGAAGGCGAAGAACCAGATAACTTTTTTTGGGTTGCACTTGGTGGAAAGAAACCATATGACATTGATGCAGAATATATGAATTACACAAGACTGTTTAGGTGTTCTAATGAAAAAGGATATTTTACTATCAGTGAAAAATGCACTGATTTTTGCCAAGTAAATATTTATATATTATGTTCATTTGAAAAACTTTTAAATTCTTAAAATTATTAATTATTAATACATTTATTGTTTTCAGGATGATTTAGCAGATGATGATATAATGATACTAGATAATGGTGAACAAGTATTTCTCTGGTTAGGGACCCGCTGTTCGGAAGTAGAAATCAAGCTTGCATATAAATCAGCTCAGGTAAAATATCTAAAGTAAAATAGATTATTAATTAATTTTAAATAAATAATTAATTCATTTTTATCTTTCAGGTTTACATACAACATCTACGTGTTAAACAACCAAATAAGCCGCGTAAATTATTTCTTACTGCTAAAGGAAAAGAGTCACGAAGATTCACTAAATGTTTTCATGGCTGGAGTCAACATAAGAGAACTCCCCAATAAAATCTACATACAAGAAAGGCAGGTATTGCTATTATTTTTAGCTTAAAATATGAGTGCAATGTTATATTCTTAATTTATTATATTACAATTGCAACTAAATTCATCATTTGAATTTAGTAATTATATCAGCAACATGTAAGTGCCAGAATTGATGATGTGAACTTGTTATATTTTATGTTTTTGTACATTCTAATGTGATTTTCCATTTTATATTAAGCTATATAACATATGAATTTATTTAAAAAATTTACAGTATTTTAATATTATATTGAACATTACATGTATAAAGAAGTAAGAAGTAATGAAATATTGTAATCGAGTTCACTTTGTGTGCTTGAAAATTTTCATACCAATTATTTGCTTTGATTAGAGTGGTCTTGATCAGCCTTTTATACACATGCATTCTACTTAAAGTCAATTCTGTGATTAAAAATATATTTAACATTGGTCAAAATAATTCATATCATACATATATACACTAAACATTTAGAATTAAAGGAGTACGTTTTTTTCTGTCCATATGTTTTGTTTCCACATATATGAAAAAAAAAGAAAAATACATAAGTAACATTACATATATTATTTTGAAAACAGTATATTTATTTTGCATAGCTGGCTTTACAGAGCTACACAAAATTGCTATTATAAAATGTCTTTATTCTTAAAATACAACACACATCAGCAAAGTATAACATACATTTATTTTAGAAGTGTAGAGTAAATTGTAGTAAAATATGAGTATCAAAAAATATTAATTTAAACATTTCAATAATTTCTTAAAATATTATAATTTCTACTTTGTAGATTTTAGAAATCTTTTTTATATATATAATAACCAAAGAAAGTAATATTTTACTAAAGAAAATTATAAATATACAAACTGGATATATCTTTATTATAATTTAACTATAGTAAAGCCTTTTAATCTTTATCATTTTCTTATTTAATGATTTATCAATCTTTTCTGCATCCAAGCACAATATACACAAAGTGATCAATATTTATAGATTTTCTTGTATATTACACAAAATATTCCTGCATTTTCATATAGATTTGTGTATATCAAGCAAAGACTAGAAATAAAAAGGCATTTGATATATTCATTATATATATGACATCATGCATATTAACATGAGTCAATAAATGCATGGATGTGAATTTTAACATGATGTGATCAATAGAATATTTAATGTGTTAATTTATTTACAAGCGTACAGAAAAAATTATATATATATATATGTATATGTATGTATATGCATTTTGTACAAGTTGTATTATACTAACCTTTATTATTTGTATAAATAAATATTTGTATTAAATTACAGAATATAACTATGACTTCATTAATTTAAATCATAAATATTGTTTTATATCAAGACAAAGCAAATACTTTTTTTTTATCAACGCAATATTATATCATTTTTTGAATTCTCTTGAGATTATTTTCTGCAACAAAATACCACAATTAATATTACTATGTTATCATTAACATTTATATAATTGCTATAATATATAACCTTCTAAAAATTGAAATAATTTACTATATCTATTATGACAATGAAATGTTATATGTAAAAGTCATATAACTATTAAAAACCAATGAAGTATTTATAAATATTCTTATAAAATTACTTAAAGTACTTTGCAAAGCTACAAGATAAGTCTAAAGCTAAATTAATACTAATACGTAAAAATAATACTATTTAAATATAATAGCGATATAAGGACTAGATACTTGCCAACAACTAATATATCAAATTATCTACTTTAATCATCGTCGTCGTCATCATCTGACGGAACGAAGAGATCATTTTCTTCCAAAAAATTAGCCATATTCTTACTAATAGTAGCACCTACAAGCAAGCCTAATACCACTCCACAAATTACTCGTACGAAACCGAATGGGGTTCGTTTCGGTTCAGGAAGAATAGCACCTGATGGTGTAGTGATTTTCGAACGTACTTTTATTTTATTTTCACCCATAATTCCGTTCAAAATATGCACTTTCGTCAATCCAGAGGTTAATCGTTGTAAAATCATTTCGATTAGAGTAATTGCAGATAAGAAGAATAAGAAGACTTATAAGAAGACTTTACCGTTAAAATATAAATTAAATTAATTTTAAATATTTCGATCAATCAGTATAAATATTTGATAATGGATGCAATAGAAATAAAACATATAATAGTTGAAACGACCACTGAAAATTCGTAAAGTTATGGCTTATATATGGCTGATATCGTTAAATAGATACACAGACTTTAATTTTACAAGCCACCTACGATTTTAATTTTGTATTTGCACCAACAGATGGCGCAATGGTATCCTATCTCGTTTCTTTATATTTCTTTAAAATAATATACATAAAATAAAATGTGAACAAAGCACATGATTTTATATTTGAAGAAATAAAAAATTTAATTAATAAGAAATAAATAACTAACGATGTTGTACATGATCGGTTTAGGACTTGGTGACGCAAAAGATATTACTGTTAAGGGTCTTGAAATAATAAGAAAATGTAATCGCGTGTATTTGGAATCTTATACATCAATTCTTTCTGTAGGTCAAAAAACCTTGGTATGTATAATAATACTAACATAAAATTGACAAATAAATATAAAGGCACTAGACATTATATCATGTTATAAAAATGATTGATGATGAAAAATTATTATCTTACTTAAATTTAATAGGAAGATTTTTATGGTTGTTCTTTGATCATCGCAGACCGTGACTTAGTAGAAAGTAATGCAGATTTAATACTATCAAATGTAAAGGACGAAGACATCGCATTTTTAGTTGTTGGAGATCCATTCGGTGCAACCACGCATACAGATTTAGTATTACGAGCACAAGAGAAAGGTGCTAAGGTATATAAACTTTTGCTTTTTAAGATACTTATAATAAGAAAGATATATAATAATTGAAACAATCAATTTTAGGTAACAATAATCCATAATGCATCGATCTTAACTGCTATAGGTTGTTGTGGTTTACAATTGTATTCTTTTGGAGAAACTGTATCTATTCCATATTGGACAGAAATGTGGCAACCTGATAGTTTCTATGATAAAATTGCTTCTAACAGACAAAGAGGTTTACATACTTTGTGCCTACTGGATATCAAAGTAAAAGAGCCTACATTGGAAAGCATTTTAAGCAAGAAAAAAATTTATATGCCACCAAAATATATGACCGTTGCTGAGGCATCCAATCAATTAATCTCCATATTAGAAAAAAAGAAAAAAGATAGCGATCAATGCTTAGGTTTGTAGATATTATTGCAAATATTATTTATATTGTTATTATTTAAATATTCTAATATTTTATATCATGACCTACAATATATATATCATGAATATATGTTACAGGTTTTACAGAAGATAGTCTAGTGGTGGGATTAGCTAGAATAGGATCTGACGATCAGAATATAGTTGCCTGTTCATTGCAAGAAATGAAAGGAATTGATCTTGGAGAACCTCTTCATTCTTTAATCATACCAGCTGAGAAATTACATCCTCTTGAAACTAGTTTCTTAAGGCAATATGTTATTGATAAAACACAACTTGACTAATCAGTGGCTCATTATCGTATTAAAAGTACATGAAAAATTGATTGACGTATATATTTTTTATTATATTTATTGTAAATATTTAATTATAAAAAAAAAATTTTATCGAACGTTGGCTATAAGATTTACTACAAGATTACTTATTTATACTTAAAAAAAAAACTTCATAAAAATACAATAACGTCGTTATATGTAACCTTTCCATTGTTACATAATACTACACATTAAATATTTCCTTAGAATTTATTGATTATATGTATTGTCCGAGAAATCTTAAAAAGTCTACGCATGACAAATCGTAAATATATACGATATTCGCGAGTTCTTCTTCGTGTCACGTAAGCAGGTAGTTTCTGACTAATCGATGGAAAGGCATCGATCGTTCCTACGGCACAGGTGAAATCGGCCAACGGTGAAAGGACCGCTCTCAGTCGAGCAGGTTAACTCTTGGTCCGACGACGTTGTTATTTCTTCTACACGCTTCCGGCTTTCAAAGACTATCAAATACTTATCGTATACTTATCTTTCAATAATCAGCGCTGTCGTTTTCAAAATTCTAACAGGTACATTTGTATTTTAATATTAAACAATTTCTAAAGAATTTACATTAACAATCGTTAAAGAGAGAGAGAGAGAGAGAGATTGTTAGTTTTACAATGTATATTTATAGAAAGTACTGAGATAATCATCAGACAAATTTATAAAATTTTTCAAACAAAACGAAATATTCCTGATGAATATTCATAATTCATATTTCATTCATTTTACATTTTTTTTTTTGTGAAACAATTATATCTATATAGTTTTAGATCTTTTTTCTTTTCTCGTTTTTTTTTTCTTCTCAAAAAATATTTTATTTCACATTTATTTATTTAACGATAATATATAACGTGTCGTACTTTCTCGATATTTAATATTTTAAACTATGATTATTGTTATTATATAAATTTTCATACGTTTTCATATATGTACTTGATTAAAAAACAATTATAATCTCCTTCTTATTTCGTCTATATAAGAAGTACTCTTAAAATTATACGCATCGATTATTCCGTAGGTCAGGTATAAACGATACATTAGCCGTTATATACTTGTCAGATAGGACATACATATATATCAACGTTGTGACATTCGCGTGATCTTTCATCTTTAATTAATAATAATTATTACAGAACGAAACGATGAAACTTTTATGAAACGATTCGATGCCAACTTTTTTTTTCGTTTAATTAAATCGTACCGATGAATAAAAGAGTTATTTCCAATTTATTTCTACAGGATAGAGGAAACAAGTAAGAAAGGGAGAGAAAAGAGCAAAAGCTATAAATATCTAACTGGTCGATGTATAGTACTATGCGTTCGCTCATATGCGGGAATTATCAAGGTTAGCGCTAGTTTTCTGGGTCATGTACATGACCTTGAACAAGTTGAATACGTACACCGCAAAGTTGTCCTTTTTGAAAAGATTCGTTTGTTCAATGAAAACAAAACATTTTCGTTGGTAAAAAATCGATATAAAAGAAAGAAAAAAAAAAAAAAGAAAAAAAATTTATAATACAATTACTCGTATTGCATGTACTATAAAATAAATGTTTCAGGTATGACTAAGCAATTCTAAATGTTCACAAAGAAAATATATTAAAATCGATAAAATGGCGGCGTCGACAGAACGTTCGAAGGATCCCTACGAAATGGGATTTCTTTTAGCACCAAGAGTTCCTCAGGGTTTGGCAGCCGTAGTGGAAAGTTTAACAAGAGAGGTCTTACGACAACGTCCCGAAGACATTTATGTTTTTGCCGCTCGTCATTTCGAGAAATTGCTTACGCTTCGAGAACAATACGATGTCGTTGGTAAGAAAACAAGTGGGGAATATAATTTTTCTAATACAATCAAAAGACGTAGCGATTGCAAGGAGTCTAGAAAAAACAAACGAACAACGAAGGACATCGGTACGACCAGTGGTTGGTCTTTGAATGAAACGGCAAGAGTTCTTGAAAGGCATCGAAATATTTTTGGAGATGGAGAGAAGAGGATAAGCACCGAGGAGGTGCGAGCACTTGCGAACGAGAAAAATGGACGATCGTCTTCTGGCACGAAAAATAAACGAGAGAAAAAAAGATCTTCCGACACTAGTCAAGAATATTCGAGAGATCATCCGAAAGCAACTACAGATAATAATGATTCTTTGAGACTCGATCGTAGCGCGAAGACGCTTAAGATCATTTCTCAAATACCAACGGTTTTAACTCGTAACTCTGGTACAAAAAATATCAAGATGGAACTTAGAAAAAATAGATTAAGTGGTAGTTTAAGGGAAAAAAGTACGGATTCTTCGAACGAAAGCCAATTTCCAGAGCAAATTAGCGATATTTCGAGAAAATCTACGGGGAAAGCTGAACGTGCCGAATTAGTACAGAATTTTGAAGAGAAACAAATAAACAAGAGGACGATTCGTCGTAGTGAAAGCGTCGAAAGAAATTCGAGCCGATCAAGCCGGTCACGGAGAAAGAAAGATAATTTTTCCGAACTTATTCCGGATAGAAAAGAATTATCTAAAGCTCATAGTATGGATCAGGTGAAAGAATATGTTGTCCGTACGTTCGGCTCTGTTAAAAATATCAATGAACTTGATATGAGTTATGTAGAACAAGTCCAAGACGTGATTGATAGAAACATACCGATAATTAAAGAAAAGATTGAAGAACTCAAGAGCGATGTTTTATCAAAGAAATCAAAAAGATCGACTTTTAATACGGAAAAATCAAAAAAACGTGGAAGTAGACCTAACACTTCAGAAAATGATACTCGTTCGAATGAAGACCAAGAAAGACACCGTAATAAGAGAAGTTCCAGTGTTGATTCGACAGATTTTAGAAGACAAGACGATACCTTGGAAGGCAGACTGATCAATACTCAAAACATTTTAGAGGGCATTTCGTCGAAATGTTATTCAAAATCTCAAAATGTAAATTACCGGTCTAAATCAACTAACGGTCATACAAACGAAGAAGACAACAGGTATTCGACGTTAGAAGGAAGTTCAAAGATTACCTTGCCAGCTGTGAGACCGGCGTCTTCCAAAAGTTCAAGGAGTCTTTCGCGCAACGAATCAGATAATTTGATTTTGCCACCGATTTCACCGGACACCGGTAAGATTCCAAAGAAGAAGGACGACATGACATTACCAACGTTGTCACCTATGACAACCGAAACCTCAGTTTCTTCTTCGTCTCTTCGATTAGAAGAGAAAGAGAATAATTCGGTGGATAACAAAACTGGCGATCTTGGAGATGAAATATTACAATTATCAACGTCGATCAAGGAAGATATCACGTCGACAAGAAAAATGTTAGAGAATGTCAACGACGCACTAAAAGCACCGATGACGTCCGACGATAAAGATAAAATGGATCAAGAAACGTCTTCCATGAGAGATACAACAAATGACGAAGTGGAAGATTCCGTCCAGGAGACGATCGAGAAGTTTGACGGAATTCTTGATGAAAAAATATTAGAAGAAAACATACAAGTTGAAGAAATTTTCAAAGACAGTTTAAACGTTACACCAGATAGTATCGATATTCCTCCGACCCCAGATTCTTTAGAGCCACCGATCGAAGATGAACAATCAGCTACGCTCAATTCTCATCTTTCGACGGTTGAAGAAGGAATGGAACTTAAACAAAAATTGATTGAGATTCAAGAGATAGAACGTAACGTCGAAAAAGTGATAGATTCTTTCGAGGATTCCATTAAAAAGGATGAAGTTAAGAGCCCAAAACTAATGATCGTCGATAAAGATTCAAAAGATTCAATTGTTGTAGAAGCTAAAGAACCTCTAGAAGAAAGAGTTAAAGAAATAATAAAAGAAGAAACGACTGATTTAAGTAGTTCGAGAAAAGGATCTCCAACAAATACGCCAAAATCGAACGATGACATGGATGAAAATCCTATCGATCAGATAAAATATAAATCCGAAAATGAATCGGATAATATAAATATTCCACAACTTGTTATGGCGAATGATGATGGATCAACAGGACAAATCGAAAGTGGTAAATCAGAAGTAACTGAATCTGGTGACGAAGTGGAAGATATTAAAGAAATTACTGCAAACGTTGGTGATGAAGGTATTACTAATGAATATAAAAATTCCCCATTATCGTCGAACGGAAAAGAAATAAACGATTTGCTTCGTCTTTCATTATCTTCTTCGCCAAAAGAGATTCCATTTTCATATATCCTCACGGAAGGTTCTCCAGTTGAAATTCCAGATTTTGTGACAACAGTAATTATTCCAGAAAGATCACCTTCCACGCCGGAATTTGATCTCGATAACAAAGAAGAAGACGTTGAACTACAGGATGAAAGACGTAAACGTGCCGTGGAAAGTTTCGGTGAATATATACAACCGGAACAAACAGAATGTTCTACCGTTGATATAGATTTCATTCGTGGTATAAAGGCTGGTCATGACATTGCCATAGTTCGACAAGATCTCGATGGTATCAAAGAGGAAGAGGAATACGATGAAGAGAAACTAGTGAAATTAATGGATGAAGAAGACAAAAATGAGAAAGAAATGAAAAAGGATCATTCACCTTTATTGGAACATATTTCAGAGAATGAAGAAAACGAGGAGACTGGTGAGAATGATAAAAAGGAGACAAAAATCATTCCTATTGTTGAAACAGAAATAGAATTAGAGAATCAGACCAACGATAGAGAGGAAATTATAGAAAATGTAAACGTAATTGAAAATTCATTAGAATGTGAAGAAAGCACGGAAACTGCCGATGGCACTTCGGAATCAACAAATGAAGTTAAAGAGACTACAATAACCGATCGCTCAACCGATAGTTTATCTTTAGATCCCGCAAGGCCAATAGTACCGGAATTAAATTTGGATTCTTTACGTGATATTACAATATCATCTTTTAAAATGAACGATGCTGACGAAACTATATCGTTGATGGAGCTAACTTTATCGGAAAAAGAAAAAGCTGACATTGAACAGGATGTTGAGACAAAGGAAGAAGAAAATTCTGATAGTGGTCACAAAGAAGATACTTCGGCAATGGAAACGATTTCAATGGATGAAAAACCTATGGAAATGGAAACATCTTTAATTAATTTAGAAAGTGAGGGAATAAACAAGGAAGAACATTCGATTTCACCTGAAGAAATTATTAGAAACAAAGAGGAAGTGTTGATTACTTCTAGCGAAAGAAAAATTCAGCCTCTCTTATCCGAGAACATTGAACAATGTGATACTATTAAAAGCGACTCTTCGCCTCTCGGGTATTTAGAACTAGAAGAAAATGCGACTGATCTAGACACCGAGGAAGAAATAGCAAAAGAATTGATAGAAATCGATCGTGCCGAAAATCTTATTCTTTTTAAAGAGACTCCAACTATTTCGGAAGATAATCTTGAGAAATCTCACGAAATCTTGGATTCGAATGGTACGATCAAAGATCAAGAGGTTTCAACGATCGTTGAAGAAGAAGATCTAAAGATCAAGGATGAGAAACAATGTAAAGATGCTATCTCTCCTAAAAGCGAAAGTTTTACTACTTCGACAGAAAATTTAAAAAAGATCACAAATACTAAAGATGAGAAAGAAAATATTTCTGAAAGGATGGAATCGAAAAAGTCAAGCGATAACGAGGAGAAAGATCAGTCGAATAAAAGTCAAAATGATAATGTGAGATCCGATACTTCTGAGACAGCTTTTGAAGAATTCGATACAAATGAGCTCGATACAAAATTGGCTGAAAAAAAAGAATATCACCTTTACGTAACGAATCTTATGGCAACTAAAAGTCAAGAGGATACTTCGGAAAGTAGCAGTACACTTCACTCGGCTGTTACGAAAATTCAAGCCGGTAAATATCTATTATTTATTTTAATATAATGTTTTTCATTATTTTATATAAAACGAATGGATATTATTATTTTGTTAGGTGTTCGTGGTTTCTTAACGCGAAAGAGACTTCAAGAAAATAATCGTCTTGATTCTACTTTAGATAATGTACCATCTATCCAAGAAAGTGTTACAGTAAGTTATATGCATATATCAGCATATTTTAATATATGTAAAATTTAGTTGTATCTTAATATATTTTTATTATATATTTTTATTAGGAAGATCCACAAATCACTGATTTTAAATCTGTATCAGAAACAATGGTTGACTCACCAGTTAAATCGACAAATGCATTATCATCAACGACTACATCAGAGAACGAAATGATCGTGGAGGAGCAAGGAGAGATACCAATGACGAAGACAATTTCAATGCCAATAAAACAACGGCAATGTCTTCGCCGTGAAGATGCTATGCAAACAAATACTTTATCAATGGAAAATGCTTTTGCATCGGGTAGAGTTCAACATACTGGTGAATTTCATGACTGTTTACCATTACCTGTTCTAGAATCTGCTGAAATAACAAAATCTACGAGTCTTTCTCAAAATGAAAATAAAGACGAAGATGCGAAGGAAAAATTAATCGATCAGCAAATAAAATCTACGAGAGAAGAGATTACCATCGAGTCACCGACTGATTTAACGTCGGAATCGAACGAACATGATAATTATGAAAATATTGAAAATATAGATAGAACTCCAACAGATTTTGTAAAGGATTTAAGCAATCTATTTGGCGGATTGCATCCAAAAGACTTGACCAAACTTTTAGTAGGTCAAGTCAATACACCAATCATGTTAGGACTCGTAGATATTGTTCCAAATTCAGTAGTAGGTACAAACTCGAATGTAATATTCGAAGCGAATATGAATATAAATGCTAACGACGATCGAACACGGTCTGTCAAGGATGACTCGACTTCACAAAATCGGTACTTGAATTTCATAACCAGTGTTGAAGATAGCGAATCAAGTCACGTTAAGGACACCGTGCAAGAATACGATGATCATTCGAATGATCATAGTATACAAAGCCTACGAGAACCTCTGGCCCTTCCTGGAACACCGGAAGGTGTTTTAATAGAGGAACTTAGTAGTCTAGACAGTACGACTATATCAAAACTTCAAGACACTTCTTTCAATTCTACCAGCTTGGAATCTGCTACGATGGATCGTGAATCTATTGAAAAATCAATAATAGATTCAGAGATTTCATTGAAATTATTAGACAAATCCGATAATGTGAAATCTGAAGGAACTAGAACCCAAGATAATGTCCCGATTACAGAAGAAAGCGTTACTCTTACATCTACAAAACTATCAACGATAAGAAGTGAAAGTGACGAGCACACAGAATTATCGAAGAGTCCAAAAGAAGAGAACGTTGAAAATAAAGACGAGATGGTAAACGATAATGGCGAACAATTATTTAACAATGAAAAAATTGATGAGGCAAATGGGAAAACCATCGAACAGTCAAGGATTACGAATCTTTCTTCAGAGATCGTAGAAGTTGATAATGATGAAAATAATGCATCATGTTCGGATGATAAAGATGAAAATAATGTAGCAAGTTCGGATGATAATAACGAAAATATAGCAACAAGTTCGGATGATAATGATGAAAATAAAGAAGCAAGTTCGGATGATAAAGATGAAAATAAAACAGCAAGTTTAGATAATAAAGATGAAAATAAAGCAACAAGTTCGGATGATAAAGATGAAAATAATGTAGCAAGTTCGGATGATAATGACGAAAATAAAGCAGTAAGTTCGAATGATAATGATGAAAATAAAGAAGCAAGTTCGAATAATAAAGATGAAAATAAAGCAGCAAGTTCAGATGATAATGATGAAAATAAAGCACCAAGTTCGGATGATAATGATGAAAATAAAGCAGCAAGTTCGGATGATAAAGATGAAATGAAAGCAGCAAGTTCGGATAATAATGAAAATAAAGCAGCAAGTTCGGATGATAAAGATGAAAAGAAACCAGTAAGTTCGGATGATAATGATAAAAATAAAGCAGCAAGTTCGGCTGATAATGATGGAAATAAAGAAACAAGTTCGGATGATAAAAATAAAAATAAAACAGCAAGTTTAGATAATAAAGATGAAAATAAAGCAACAAGTTCGAATGATAAAGATGAAAAAAAAGCAGCAAGTTCGAATGATGATGAAAATAAAGAAACAAGTTCGAATGATAAAGATGAAAATAAAGCAGCAAGTTCGAATGCTAATGATGAAAATAAAGAAGCAAATTCGAATAATAAAGATGAAAATATAACAGCAAGTTCTGATAATACAGATGAAAATAAAGGAGCAAGTTTGAATAATAAAGATGAAAAAAAAGCAGCAAGTTCGGATGATAATGATGAAAATAAAGCAGCAAGTTCGAATAATGATGAAAATAAAGAAACAAGTTCGAATGATAAAGATGAAAATAAAGCAGAAAGTTCGGATGATAAAGATGAAAATAAAGAAATAATTTCAGATGGTAAAGATAAAAATAGAAGAGCAAGTTCGGATGATAAAGATGAAAATAAAGAAGCAAGGTCGAATGATAAAAATGAAAATAAAGCTAGTTCGAATGACAAAGATGAAAATAAAAAATAAAGTTCGAAAGTCGAAGATAAGAATTTGGATCACTTGAACAATAAAGAAGACTAATTACCGACCAAAATGATGCAAATTTGTTCAAATGATTCTGTAAAAAAATCAAATGACATAAAAGAATAATATATCGATCTATTGAACATAAAATGATCTACATAAAAATATTTCTTCATAATAAAAATACATATTTCGTGAAAAAATATTATTTTTATTACGATCTAATCAATGAATTTTTCAATTAGTTCACGATAATGATAAAAATTTCTTTTTTCACGAGATAACTTCAACCGATGATATTTTATTTAGTTTTATTAACGACTTATTTATTACATGGATGCTTTTTAGCAAGAATTTGTTACGTAATTTCTAACAGCCGCTTTGATGCTCGTTAAACTGTTAATGACCATATCGCCATTTTAATTCTATCTTCCCATGTACGAATATTCATACATCAGCATCATCCCATTTACTAAAAGTTGTAAGGAATTCTCACTGATTAACACTTATTGCGCCTAAGATAATCATCAAAGTTTTAATACAGTTCTCAGTGAAGAAGATAGATAACCTTATAATTAAATACGAGCATAATAATCTAACGTTTGTAATAATCAACGCGTAATGAACGATAAAATCCTAAAAATTTCACTGTAGAATTTGTGTGTGGTATATGATAATCCTATCGAATAAAAATAATACTTTAATTATGTTTAATTGTTATAATTTCACAGAATTAACAACGATAAAAACAAGATACGAAATAAAAATATACGTCGAATTATTTTCTATACGTTTCCTACGATAGAAGAAATAACAATATGCATATACGTAAATACATATACTATTAAAATATATTTCTTTATTAAAAATCCGTTATTTCTAAATGTAATATATATGTCATTGAATATTAATAACACAATTATTAATGTTTAGGAATAAGAATAATTTTAGAAACGACAGGATTATTCTTTTCCTGATGACTAAATGCTGGCTTGACTCGTAATTGTCCGTTATCAACACAGTGTCGATTTACGCATACTATTCAAAACCATGAAAAATTTACGCAGTAAATTTGAGTAGAGCACACGTGCAAACGGCCTGCTCTAAAATTACAAATTGGATATATCAAGTCTGTGGGGCTATGCACGACAATACAACTAATCGAAAGCAACCTCCTTTAGTATTAGTGAACTTTCTTATTTAGAGTTAAATTTAACTGGATAGCCATGACAAGGCTATTAGCTCGGAATAAACAATTTGTTTACTATCGAATGTAATGCTTTAAAAAAAGATACAACGTACTTGGACGTTTCTCAATCTTATCTATTCGATCAGATCGTTTTAGATATTCTTGTAAAATCGATATAAGATTCCTTTTATCGTCGATCTGATTTCTAACATTGAGTCAAATCCAATGCTATGTAAAGTAAACTCGAACGATGAAAGAAATTGTCATCGATGCCATCTTCCTTCGCCTTCGGTATGACGCAGAATCGATCTATCAACGTTCCGATAGTTATTATTAGCGGCTTAATCACGCGTCTAGGGTGGAACGAAGGCACGTATGTACATTGAGAGCGTGCACCTGATGTCTATAGATAGATATCGGGAGACTTTTACGTTCTACGTCATTCTTGTACCAACCGAATAAAACTACCACCTCCATATAGTGAGCTCACGATCGCAAGTTAATCGTCTTTTAACGTCACGCATTAATTCATCTATGAAAAGATACAACGGAGGAGATATACACGTGGGCTTTTTATATACTTATATCTTGCCGAGAGAACGAACATTTTCGATAAAGTGACGCCAAGAATGTTGGAACCGATGATACAAGCGTGACGTCTTTCTTGTCTTCTCGTCAACATTTTTTTCATCTTACCTACACCGAGGTGCTATAATTATTACATTAAAAAATCTATAACTATGGCATTAATCTTTGAAAAAAGAAAAAAATATTTTTCATTTAAAATTTTCTTCGAAATATATAAAATCACATTCGATGTTGATTTCTGAAATCGCAGCATAACGATCGATTTATGTTGTATTAACGTTTTAGTGATTCATTCCTTTATATTCTCATATGTAAACTGATGTAAATGAAGGCTCGAGGTCAAAATAAGAGGAACTTGTTTTGTACTATTATAACTTGCTTACATATGCGATAAATAAGTTTATATTCGTGATCATCAGATTACTGGAAATATCAAGGCTCGAATTCGGACGAGTTTAGAACGTAGAAGGACAGTTATATATATATAGGACTAGTATAACGTAATAATTTTAAAAGGGAAGAAAATGTTCGACACAACTGGCCGATCTGTCGTCCCCTTTCAATTTGCTCCGTTGTCGATCGGTGTCAATGAAAGATCAGAGCAACGAAGTTGTTACAACGATTCTCGTGAGTTTACCAATCAATCGAAATCACAAATTCCTAGGAATCAATTAACGTTCAAATTAAATCATTATTACTCGAGCCTCGCGAACGTTCTATCAGTTTAAACCAGCCAAAACTAGCTTCTTTTAGTTTAGTATTTATTTATTTTTCCATCCAAAAGAATCAAAAGACAAAAAGAAAGAAAGAAAAAAAAGAAGAACGAATAATAATAAAGTAAAAGAGAAAAAGATAAGACGTTTTTGTTTTGAGCAAATATGATACTGTGAAAATTATATTTATCCTCGAGTTTTCGCCTTGATTTCATTCGCACATTCATTCGTGCCAACGAAATCATTAATTAATTTCTTGGCAAAGTAAATATACCGTATCATAGCGCGATACATTTCTTTAACAAAAATTTAACTGTCGGGAGATAACCTCTTTCTAAAAGAAATAAAAGAAATGTCAAGAAAAATGTACAAGCAGCAATCGTTCGATTCTTTAATTTAAAATATTAAAAGAAATGAAAGAGAAGTTCGATATCGACGTGTTAAAAATAAAAAGAAACAAAAGAAGCTCATATATGTTTAATACGAAAGTTGAAACGTTCATTCGCGATTCTTAAGGCACGAACAAATTTTTCTTTATTCATATCGTGTTGTTATACACGCGAATGCTTTCGCAAAGGCGAACGCGAGAAGAACGAAGAGAGAGAGAGAGAGAGAGAGAGAGAGAGAGAGAGAGAGAGAAATAGAGAGAGAGAGAGAGAGAGAGAGAAAAAGAAATAGAGAGAGAGAGAAAGAGAGAGAGAGAGAGAGAAAGAGAAAGAGAGAGAGAAATAGAGAGAAAGAAAGAGAAAGAGGGAAAGAGAGAGAGAGAGAGAGAGAGAGAGAGAGCACGTTGAAAGAAGTGCGCATGCGCGAAAGATCTCCCGCCTCTCTTCGAGCGAGTGAGAGAGCTTAGAGCGCTCAAGCGAGAAGCGCAAGGCGGTTCACGGAGCGGGAGCATTGCTACCGTCAGTTTCACTTTGCATCTCCATCAAAGTGGCCGTCTAAAGTGTTCAAAGAGACTTTAAATTAACATCGAGCATTCATTATAAAAAAAGAAAGGAGATACATATTTATCTATTTATCTATCTATCTATTTATCAAAGTATAGAAACAAAAAATTTTTTCGTGTCGTACGACGTTGGGGCACTTCTTTAATTTTTTAAGGAAAATAAAAGAGAAAATAAAAAGAAAAAAGAAAGTATAAAAATAAAGAAAGAAAAAGAAAAAAGCTAGATAATAAAACACTCGGAAGAAGAGGTGTGGACCTATGTCCGAGAAATTAAGGGACGACGACACGATGAAAGCTAACACGGCTGCTACAAAGATTCAAGCAAATTTTCGCGGCTATCGCGTGAGAAAACAATTGAAGGAAACGAAACCACAACAGCCGCATCAGAAGAGACAACAGAGCGACGATGAGTCTACATCATCGAGTACGTCGACTTTAAAAAGGCAAAATACTAGGGAGGCTCTCGAAGAAAAATCAGCAACGAAAATCCAAGCCGGAATTCGTGGATTTCTGGTGAGAAAAAGACAACAGGCAGAACAGGCTGCAGCTACTAGAATTCAGGCTGGATTTCGTGGCTTCAGGACAAGAAAGTTGCTCAAACAAAATGGACAGTGACATACACCTTCGCCAATTTCTCCGATCTCCTCATCGATGATGGACTAACTTATACGAATACTAAGGACTTACCTTTTATTTTCCTTTCCGTTATTTTAATATTCTTTCATCTTTTGACTCATATCATTCTATTTCCTTATCATCGATTATCAAGAGCTTCTCATCACCGTCGTCTCTTCGTTGTCGCGTTTCGTTCGTCCAATAGTAAAGGATAGTAAAGGAATCGTCGAGACAGCTTTGTTGTTAAATCTGGACCACTTGATGCCGGCACCGCCCCAATCCTTCGTATCTGCGAAGGTAAGAAAGAAAGAGAAAAAGAGAAAGGAGAAAGAGAAAGAGAGAAAGAGAGGGAGAAAGAGAGAGAGAGAGAGAGAGAGAGAGAGAGAACGAGAAAGAATGGAAATAGCAATCTCCAAACAATTTAGTTCCGTTATTTTCAAAATAGAAAGAAAAAGACTAATAAAGGAAGAAAATCAAAAATATTTTGAAATTTATAACAAATAAGACTCTGCCAGCAATGGAATTAAAGTAATCAGAAAGTTTTCAATTAGCTCCGGGAAACGATAACTTTCGAACGGAAAATAATGATTCGTTTGAACAACATCAAATCGCGTTGTATCGAATGGAATAAATGACGCATAAAATCAACAACCGACTGATGTAATGTGTATATATGTATATATATGTACATATATAAATGCATAGATATGATATGGACATTTTGAAAATAATACATTCTCTTTGAGAATTCATTTCGTCGAGAAGCTGTCAGGGTCACGTCGCGTGTGAAGTTGACAGCCGATCATGTTAGCATGTTTATTCTACCTCTATCGCATAATCTAAAATCGCAAATTACCCTTTTAACCTTCTATATTTTATCTTTTTTTTTTATTTGCAAAAGGAATATTTTTCATTTGCGGTTGGAGGTGGATGAGAATAAGCTCATTAATCGAGGACGATTACATAATTTAAAGCGATGGGTTCCATTGTTCACAAACCATTCCGTATATTAATCTATGTTGAAACGTGACAACACTTTGTAAATCGATAGCATTTGGAAAATGATAAATATAATATATATATATATATATACACGCGCGATCTTTCGGAAGCACGTCTTTTTGAAAAAAGTATTTTTTCTTTTTCTCTCTTTTTTTTTTTTTTCTTTCGACAAATTATTATCGGCGATTACGATGATTTTAACCGGAAAGTCCCCAGTTATTTTCTCCGCCGTAATTCAATTTAGTTCGAGCCGAGTCACAAGCCAATGGAGTTTCGTTTTCGTATCGAGGAGAGAAAAAAAGCACAACATGTATTACACACACAAATACGAAACACAACACAACACAAAACAACATAATACAACACAACACAAGACGACACTGTACGTGTTCCATCCTATCTATTTTCGCTCGACCACTACACGACAAAAGAAAAAGAGCGTTTATCTGTGGAGTATTCTAGAGTATTCTAGAGGCGTTTAAATCGACGAACAAAAAACAGGCTTTTGCATGGTAAAGGCCTAAACGCATTGGCGCAAAATGAAATGAAAAGAAACAACGAAAAAAAAGGCATGGAAAATTGTTGAACCTATATATTTCAATTAAACAGCACATATTTAAATAAAATATAATAAGGAGATTGAATAATTTTCGCTAAGACATTTTGATTTATTCTTTTCAAAGAATTCTAAACAAGTCCAAGATTCAAAGTATAGATAAAAAATAAATAAATGAAAAGATGATTAAGATGTGTTAGCACTTATATTGATCGATACGTAGTGCCATTCTCTTTTCTGCACTCATGTGAACGTTAAGATTGGTCGCTGACGATCGTTGTTCGATTGCGTTTAGGTTTTAACGCGCTTTACGGGGAACGGGGATATTACAAAAGAACAAAAATGAATATGCACATATATATATATATATATATATATATATATATATATATATATATGTATATATATACACAAACATATATACATATACACACATGGTGTAGAGCTAACATATAGACATTTTATCTTTCAGCGCTTCGTTGGGTGAGCACCCACGTGCACGCAACTCAGAGCGGAACAAACGAGAAAGGAGGATGGTATTGACCCAGTTTTGATGCACCGTGCAATGGCTTTTCTTTCTTAACTAGCAAACTCTTCGGTCAAGAAAAAAAGAAAGAAAGAATGAAAGAAAAGAACGTGTGTTCAAACACGTTTCATGATAGTCTATCGAAGAAGAAGAAAAAAAATCTTATGTTTCTTCGTTGAAGAATTTCTTATTAAAGAAATTAAAAAGAGAAAACAGAGAGAGAGAGAGAAAGAAAGAGAAAGAGAAAGAGAAAGAGAGAAAGAGATGAAAGTTGAAAACCGGAAGGAATGTCAACAAATTAGAAAACGCATTTTAACGCAACTATGAAGAAAAAAGATATGAAACGAGCGACATTTATTCTCCACTTCTCTTGCGACCTGACTCTTCGTCATCTCGCCTCTCCTCCTTTTCATACGCGCGTGTCCGGCCGATGGACGTTGATGACTTGTTACAAAAATATACTCTGCTTGTTCTTTAAGCCCATGTCAGCGAAGAATTTCACCTTGACGAGAAATTATTCCGAGAGACATTTGACGTAATCGTTCGTACAAATACGAGGGGTAAAGATACGCGGTGCATTTTCCTCTCTTTCTATCTTTCTCTATTTATACGTTTGTCTATCTCTCCCCATCTCTCCCCACCCCTCTTTCTTTCTCTCTCTCTCTTTCTTTCTTACCTGTTACTTATATAGTTATTTTTCGAATTATAGTCTCGAAGCATCAGCGACAATCGCTTTCGTTTTCTAGTGGCCCGCTAACTATTCGAATCGACCAATCAAGACAAAAGCGTTTTTCTATCAAATGAAAATGCGCTATTTTCGAATCGTTTCATACACCCCGACGGTGATCAGAAAGCATCGAGAATAAACGATGAAAAACAAACTCTATCAAATATGATATAATTCTTTGTGTGTGCGCGTGCTTGTGTGTGTGTTTACATTTTCTGGTTTACATTGTATAAAATCCATGATACTCTTGTATCTCCTAGATGTAATCGATTATACATCGAACGATAAATGTTTCCACATATATGATTCGTATTATAGATTTAAAGTAACACATACATCTTGAGAAATTGATTGTGAACTATAAAAGATCATAATACAGAACCCTTCGTAGAATTTTAATTGAGCTGTGCTATTGTAATTATAAGTTTCGCCTATTTAAAATTCAGTAAAGTCAACTTTTGCTTTACGTCATGATTTTTTTATATTTCGACATCAATTTTCTTTATTCAACACTCTGCGTATATATATATATATATATATATATATATATATATACATACGATCTTTTATGCGAACGGAGAATACTATTAAAACTAAAAAAATATTTATTTTACAATAAATAATATAAACACATACACTTGTACATCACGTGTATGTAACAAAAACCATGTCGATTCACAAAGAATACTCGCTTTAATTAAACTTCTTAAAGCGTCGATTTCGTTGTATTATTATTAATATAGAACGACACTTGTGCGATATTTGGATTTCTGCGATATAACGAATTACGTCAAAATTCACGTGTAACCGTGTGTCACTAAGCACATTATACAATTATTATTTATTTAACGAATGTGTCGACGTTACGTAAATAAGAGTTCTTATTGTTATATCCAAGTTTTCACTATGTTTATTATATACGTACACGTATTTTCCTTCTATTATATTTCATAAAATAATACATTTACACGTATACTAATTATATATACATATATATACATATATATATATCTATATATATATATATATATATATATATATATATATATATAATATCATATACGTACTTTTAAATATAAACTCAATTAATTATCCTGCTAAAAAAGTAACCATTTCTACAAGCATTTACGATATGTAAACACATAATAGAGTGTAAACGTATGTTTTCGAGATACTTTTCAGATTAGATAAAAAAACATTCGAATTTTCTATACCCATACTTCTTTCCCAAACAAAATACATTCTTTCACAAATAATATTTTAACAATTATCGTTAGCATTTAATTGTTCAAGACAAAATATAGAATGTAAATAATAAATCATTTTTCGATATCAATGCTTCATTACAACCAATATTACGTAATAAGCAGGAATCATCTTATTTCCAATCTATTAAAATTTAATGATTTCAATCTTACCTCTGTATGTATTTACTAGTTATTCTCATTGTATATACATACGTTATCGATTGAGTCAACAGCATTAGCATTCTAAGAACAATGGTTGCAGTGATACGTGGTGGCAGCACCGGTATGCCTCATAATTCAAACTAAAATTCCTCGACTAATTTTCATCGATATTATTTCATTTAAATTAAAATTCTTCAATATAATAAAAGTCATTTTCTTTAAACTGCCACGATTATCATCGTAAGCAATGAATTAATAATTTCAAAAATATTGGGATACATAATCATTAAGAAGAATGAATTTCAAGAGAAAAAAAAATGGTGCTTTTATTTTACGATTATTCTTATAATAGATCACATAAATAATCTTGTTATTTTGAGCAAATAAATATTTATTTAGCCAAAGACGAAAAATTAAAAATAGCCTAACTACGTTAATTGTATTTAAATAAAAGAAGAATGTTACAAGTGCACATATTAGTACGTTCCGTGAAAAGAACATGATTTCTCATCGTTAACTTGAATCGCGGGAAAACCTCGCCCTTCGAATATTTCGCGAGAAGCTACGAAATATTCGTAACATAAAAATCAGGTCAAGGCGATGACTCGCGTCTGTTCCGATAAGAAATGCAACTCACAGCCCAGTTACGATTGATTTAATACTTTTAATATAACTAGATATATAGGTCTATTCTAGTCTCGGCAGAACGGAGAGACGCATGAGAGTGCGTGCTTGCGTTTTATCCTTAAACCGATCGATAAGTATAATTTGCTATTTATCATATATGTCGTGGGACGAAATAATAAAATTAAGTAAAATCTTAAAAACTATTCGAGTCTTATCGTTCTGTTAACTATAATCGATAACAGATAATACGTTTAACGAGATCGTAGTTTTTTCCAATCCGTTCTCTTCTATTCTTTCTTTTTTTCTTGGAACTCTTTTTAAAACATCACAAACAATAAACCGATAGACAAACAGTCGGATAGAAGGCAACAAAATTATTAAAAACAATCGAACTATACGAAATCTATCTAATCAACTATGATGAGATCAATCGTTGGAATGTATTAACCCTCTCTCTCTCTCTTTCCCTCTCTTGCTTCCTGTCTCTTCTTCATCCTACACACTCTCTCGTTCTCCGAAATCCAGATCGACTCGCCCTTTATTTAGCTGTAGGAAAGCGATAATATGCATCGGAACGACGTGTCTCCAAACTGAGATGAGGCGGGCAAGTATGCGAATAACATTCGAGTTCCTCTATACTACAACCAATACACTTGTTGCAACTGCAAATTAATCCAGCGCCGCAAACTCCCCACGATTCACTTGGTCCTCCGCAAATCTCACCAGGACCCTAGAAAAAAAAACTAATAAATATATATCTCAGAAAACACGATACAATTTTCATTGATCAAAAATATTCTATATTGAATATTATAAATTTATATCTTCTCTTTCAAAATGTGTCAAATAATTAAATGTATTTTATTATTTATTAGTTAGGAGCACTAACCCTTTTGCATACAGGAACACCACAAAGATCCGATATCGTGAAACCATACTTGCACTTATCGCAATCATATCCACATCCTTCGCAAGCTTGTCTCACGTCTTCACGCTGTCTGATGAAAGGATGCGCGAAGCTGCTCGATCTGAAACGTTCCTCGTTTTATTCTTCGTGCCCTTTTTTCCCGAATTTGCGAAAGAGATAAAAAATAATCATTTCTAGAGTACTTACACAAAGATGAAGGACAATAGCATGAGTACGTAAGTGGATTGGCCCGACATGTCGTTTCGAGTGTCTGAAACAGAAATGAAGAAGCATTGTATAGCGGATAATAAGACAATGTTCTTTAAATGATGATTTTCAAGAAAGTGATAGAAATTTAAATTCATTCGACCTATATAAAGCTCAAATACATGGAACTTTTTTATACTTCGTTACATTTCAATTGACAATATTTTCGTTCTTTATATCATCGCTGGCGCATTATTGATTATTCGATGATGTAACATTCAAAACAAATTGAAAAGTTTAATAATATAATAATTGTACTCATTTCTATGAGAAAAAATAAATACTAGTATATATATACGTGTGTGTGTGTAAATATGAATCTAATTTGCTGAACAAGAATATTTTTGTATTTTACAATCATATACGTCGATATGCCATAAAAGTTATCTCAAAGGTTATGACTGAACGTTGTCACTTTGCCCTCTTGCACCTTTGTTTTTACACCGGAGACCACCCGGAATCAAACGGTTCATATCTTCTCTTTTCAACGAAGAGGAAAAAACCCGATAAGACGATGAATTTTAAATCGCATTCTAAAGAAGACCGATATCCTTATTAATTAATATATGCCCAAACGATTAAAACATAACTTAGAAAGTTACAAGCCAAATGATAACGACACGTGTTCAAAGTAAATATTAGACACGTGTTTAAAGTAAATATTAAAATATTTTCAAAAAAAAAATAACAACATTATGAATAATTTTACTCGAACATTTGGAAACAAAAATTTGACAAATTAATTAAAGTTCCTCGTAAATAATCGATGTATTTATGTATCTCCGCTAGCATGTCAAATAATGGATAGATCGAATAATGGAAAATGTGAGAATCGTCTTTGTATAGCAGAAATACGTAACTTATTTTCCATAAAAAGTTAGAAGAATATCAAGTTGGGAATTTGTTGAAAACAAGGTACGATGTTGACTTCGCTATATAATATAATAGCTGACATTGGTCAACGGAATGTTAATGTGGGAGATCAGGCGCACGTGAGAGAGAAGTTATGTACGAACTCTGTATTCTGTAAATTATCGTACTGTAAATACCATTATCGAAGAAAGAAATAATTATACGCGGACTCGTGCCGATTCATTGAACCCCGCTTTTACTTCGAGTATTTATTTATTTTTACACGGAAGATCTCAAGGTGAAATCGAAGGATAGTCAAAGATCGTAAGAAAATTTATTCATTTTATCATATGACTGATAACGAATCATAAAAGTTTAAAGTTGAACAGTCGATATCAACATCTAGCGGAAATTAAAAATCATATTTCACTAATGTTATTTTAAATCAAAGAAGCTTATAAACGTATTGTCAATACTTTGCGATGTATTCATTTATCCCGTAGAACAAGCTACGTGATCAATTTTACCAACTCCTTTTTTTTTATCAATTTTATTAATTATAATTATTATCATAAAATATCGAAATGGATCGTAAGTTTTAAGGGATAAAGAAAAATTTTAAAGGTTCTAAGTTATTTTTATATACTTAAGATGCCATCATTACCCATGAACACGTTCACTGACACCGCGAAACGTTCGAAAGAGGACGAGTATTCAAATAGCAATCCTTTCTTTGAGTTATGAGTTTTGCCTTCAGAGCAAATCCAAATAGAATCTTCCTCGCGAAAAGATCCATCGACATGGACGCCGATGTCTCGACGAGCACCGATCGGCACATATATGCTGTCCTATGTAGACGCAACCGTTTTTCTTCGAACACGAAAGAAGAATAAGAAGAAAAAAAACAAGAAGAGAAGGCAATTAGATCGATCGCTTCGAGAGAGAGACAAGAGGAGACGGAGGAATATCGAACAAAAGTATTAAGAAAAAATGATACGGATAGAAATAGGATAATTCGAATCGGCTCGTCACTTGTCTCGCGGATTCGCCGTGCGATAGACGAAACCGTTGTCCCACATAGGATATAATGCAGTCGTGGAATCCCCCCACTTTTCAACATTGCGCCAGACGCCAGCCAAGAAATTTTCCCCCTTTATATCCCTCCTTCACATCTCGAGGGCAAAGACTAGCGCGTGAGAGAGATTTATCGATGTCCAGAAACAGAAAGAAAAGCCACTGGACTTTTTTCCGCCACTTACGCCTTCTCTCTTTATCTTTGTCTGTCTCTTTCTCTCACTCATTTCTTTGATTGTCACAGAAGCTTTTAGCTTAGTTCTTCCTACTCTCATATATCGTTTCTCTTTCTCTCTCTTTCTCTGTATCTCTCTCTCTCGCTCTCTCTCTCTCTCTCTTTTCTCTTTCACTCATTATTACCTCCTTCTTCTCTTTAATGCGATCATAGTAATCACAATTCCGGGAGATCCAGGAGTACAAGAATAATCGAAGCGTCGACGCCAGTAAGCGAGCATCTCTTTCAACTCTACATCTCTTCTCGACCTCAATGATAGTGAATGAGAAAGAAAGAGAAGGAGAGAGAGAGAGAGAGAGAGAGAGAGAGAGGAAGCTTCCGCGAAATCGTTTGACTCTCTAATCGGACCGAACGTTCGATAATATCCCATGTAATTGTCAGTGGAAGCTACATTTTGCGCTGGGCCAAGGGTGCATAGTAAATAGATCTTCTACTTGACGTTCTTCGGCCAATTCCGCGTAATTTAATCGATTCGACAAAAAGAAATATATCTACGCACTATACTATACAAGAACAGATTGAAACCTTTTGTATAAGAAACTAAATCTTCTTGGTATCATTTGTTTTTTAAAAATTCAAAATTATGTTACCGATAACTCGTATTAATTATTAAAAGCAACGAGATTAATGACAATAATCTCCTCCTTTAAAAAATCGGTGACTTTTCTGATAGCTCTTGTCCTAACAAATCGTACTCGTTCCGTTCTTTGTTAAACAAGTTTCGAAAAGAACAACATAAAAGTAGAAATTATATGAATGTTTGTTCATTTCTAAAGGAAAAAGTTATTTAATATGAAATTTATATTGTAGTATAACTTATATTTGGAAAATATTATTCTCTTTCGATATATGAAGAAAATAATGAAAAAATATAAATATATAAGTATACAATTTCAAAGTTAACTTATAGAGGATTATAAAAAAAAAAAAAGAAAAAGAAAGAATATTCGAGTAGGATCTATCCATAAGATAGAAAAAATTTTCATCATAATTTCAGAAATGTATCGAGCCAAGAGAGTAATAGTAAAAGCGAGAAAGAGAAGGAGACGTTTCTGAATGATCTTTCGAAGATCATCGAGCTATTCTTTAATGGCGAACGGCCACGTAGAAAGAGTGACGTACAATAAACGAAGAGGAAGCCGATAGATGAATGGGAAGGACTTTTCCCTTCTCCTTTCGTATCTTTTCATTTTAATGTACGTGGCTTCTTGGTAGCGTAGGTGTCGCGATTCGTAGATTCGGCTGATTCGCCCAGACGTAAACAAATTTTAGCGAATCGTGACGAGAGAAATCACGAACGGAGAATAGGACGAGTTGGAGTTGCACGTTCGCATATCTCGTCTTTCTAATAATAGCAACGAAAATTTGCGTTTCTCTTCGGCGATGCCAGATTTTCTTCGTCCACCTCCACCCCACTCTTCCCCATCCCCTTTTCGAGTAGCAGAAACCCCCAACGAATCTCTTCTTACATCGCGACCGTGAGATCGTACTCTTTATTTCGTAGCAGTCTACGTGCATCGGAAGAAGAGTCCCAGTAACGCATCGCTCGTCTCTCTTTTCACACGCGATCTCGATTCGAAAAGAGTAGTCACTTTCGAGAGAGAACAAATAACAGTAACGCGACTTTTCTTCATTTGTCCAATACAAATACAACATCTTTTCCACGACTTGAGACTTAACGAATCCTATTATCGTCTAATCATCTTAAGGGTTGCCAGTTTGCGTGGCGATAATTTAAGAATTTTTATTTTCTCGAAGAAAACACCTTATAGGTGAGTTTAATTTTATCTAATTAACATCGCGAAGTAATTTATAATCGATTAAAAAATTATCTTTTTATTGTAATTGATAAAAAATGCTAAAATATATAAAGTATGTGAAAAAAGAAAAAAAAAAGAAAAAGAATAAAATTTTTCTACCATTTTATTGGAATAAAATCAAACTCGACGATATATGTATGTTAATACATCGAAGAAAATCTTCGCGATTACTATGCTTGCATATAACCGAAATTCTTTGTCTATTCATTTCACGTCTAACAAACACTTTTGTTTGCAATGATTAAACGATTGCAAACTTTCAGTGCTAACATTCTTTCGGACTCCGGGCCAAGAAACTTTAAGTTTGTGTTCTCATTTCGCTTTTAGCACCAAACATATACACGCTTGCTAATCTACATCTCATTGATACTATCAACAAATTGAAGAGAACCAAGAAAACCATTTACTTCGATTAATATATAATAATAATTAAATTTAAACAATTAATAGAAAAGAAAAAATATATGGGTATAGATATGATTCATCTATTTTGACGATTTCTATGACTTTCTCATACAAATTTATTTCTCTTCTTAAAATCGATGATGCATCATCATCATCATCATCATCATCATCATCATCATCATCATCATCATCATCACATCGTACGAGACGACGACATTTGGCACGTTTACAATTTTATGATACACAATTAAAGTTATCTTCGAATTCCATTTGCATCATGTGTGTTTCCGGGTCATACGCCTAAAAGATATCGGTTTACGTGAATCTTTCGAATCTGGTTTATTTCGGAAATAAACCAGTTGCACAGTGTCAAATTGTAAACATCGCGCATTAACCACGCATTTAAATTTTTGCCAACTTGCGATCTAAATGCCAAATTTTATCCGCGTTATCCTTCTCTCAATTTGTACAAAATTTACATTTAATCCTATGATTTCTCATTCTCTCCTTCTCTCTCTCTCTCTCTCTCTCTCTCTATCTATCTATCTATCTATCTATCTATTTATCTATCTATCTATCTATCTATCTATCTATCTATCTATCTATCTATCTCTATCTATCACATATTATTGATATTTATTGTTTTCCACGAAAAATATAAATAACAAGAAAAACATCGAGCGCATGCGATTTTAACGCTGACGCGGTCACACGTTCCGTCTAACTCGACTATCACGATCAACAAACTGTAAATATCTTCAATATTTTAATATCTCGTTCCTAAATGGATTAATAATAATAATTTCTCTTTCTCTTTTCCTTCTTCTTTCCCTTTTTATTTTTTTTCTTTGTTTTCTTTCTCTTTCTCTTTCTCTTTCTCTTTATCTTTATCTTTATCTTCACGAAAGAGATAAAAAAGACTTTTCGTAAAAACCACGCTATTATTTTTCTTCCACTCACAACTGTTTATTTTTAAACATCACTATATCCCGACTGAGAAATATTGCTTCCAGATTTACGTTTACAATAGTATCAACAAGGCGTACATTTTCGGCAGGGAATTTTGAACTAAGAAAGTATAAATAAACATCTAAATATATCATTCGAAAAGGGAAAAAGAGTATTTCCTCTGAAAGACCGATAGATGGATCGATAAAGTCAGAGAAAGTTTAAGTGTTCAATGTTTTCGCTTACGTAGGAAAGACGTACGATCAAGCGAACTTTAAGGTCCTCGGTTGAAAATAGTATGCGAAGCTGAATATAGAAGTGAAAAAGATAGGCGGATCTGCAGAGTGATCTTGCCAAAAGCTCGTTGCGTTCGAAAAGTGAATGCGAAGCGAATTCGATTTTTAACGTGTCGATCTATTTGCTAAATTAAAAGAAAAATTGTTGAACCATTGTATACGATTAAGACTCGTTAAGAAACTACAAATCATCGGTATAACATTCGCTTAATATCTCTTTTACGATTGTTTATTTCTAAATAAACATAAAATCGTTCGTGCCAGAGCTCGCTCGTACGATAAGCAAATCTTCTAAACGTTTCAAATGATATTTGTAAAATGTATTAAGTATCGAATGTAGAAGGAGTCTGATAAATGTATTTATATGATTTTAGGAAGACGATATGGGTATGATAACGCGGGTGAGGGGTCGTGTGAGAGCAAACTCGCTAACGGTGGACAAAGAGAAAACGGCACAAAGCGTTTGCCTCTTGAGCGCTGTTCTTTTGCTACCCTATTGTCCGCGTGGTCCTCTACCGCTCTTACCCTCACCAGCACCAGCCTTGTATTCGGCTTTGGTTTTACCTGTGGTATTAAGCGCTAATTACAGATATCCTGTTTACACGTTGAAAGCTCTCGTAGGGGCAACAGCAGGTAAAATAAGAAAAAAAAGAAAAATAAGAATTCTTTTTATTTAGTTTCCTACCGTATTGGAAACAATTATTTCTCTATGCCCTTTCTTTCGAAATTTCAAAATCGAAATTCTAAAAAAATTCATTTTTTTTTCCTTTACGATTAGTTATTACTACAAATCCGCCATCCAGTTCGTTATGTTTGGCGAATAAGAAAAAAAAAACCCAAGTCGCAACGAAAAGAGAGCCCATTACATATCAATCGGTTTAAAGTGTGTAATTCAATTCTGTTTTGTAAAATAGATCTTGAAGTATACATCAAGGCGAATATCCGTTAACTTACCGATATCAAAACGTTCAACGGAGAACAAAAGTTATAGATTTGCGCGATAGCCGTTTGGATAAATATATATACATATATATATACTTAGTATGTTAAATCTTATCGTACTATCAACGTAACGTTTCTACTGATATTTGTAATTGTACGCACAAAGGACTCTCGATCAGATCACATTCATAAAAATCGAGCAAAGGGGCAATGGAAGAGCAACAACACCCATTGATAAAATAGTAGAAAAACACACGCAAACATTGATAAAATAGAAAAATCTAGTCTCTCGTGTGAGAAAACCTAAAAAAAATCTACAATGTTTGTACAAACAAATCGATATGATCTATTCTAATCTAATCAAAATGGATAAATGGATAGACTCTCCCTCTCTCTCTCTCTTTCTCTCTCTTTCTCTTTCTTTCTCTTTCTTTTTTGTGTTTCTTTCTCACCTTCTATCGTTTCGTCTTCGATCTCTACGGCGATGTCCTGTCCTCGTTATCGAAGGTAACTCACCACGATGACGGAGAAACGCTATGTGCCACTGTCGACCAAGACGGGTTGTTTTATAGGTAGAGATTCGTCCGCCCGATCGAGCGCACGAATCCCGAAGGATGATCTTGGTTGCCATGTGAATCGTTCGACGCCAAGGCGACATCATCCCCCCGGTCTCTGCCCGCACCTGCCAGCCCTCGTGTCTGTCCGTCTTATCCTCTTCGTTGATGACTCTTCCAACTGACATCCATTAATATGCAAATTTGTATTGCCAGCCGTTGCGAAAAATGAAGACGATCGACGGCAACATCGATTACGTTATCCTCAATTAACGGAAATGATGGACCCTTGGCGTTAGCCACGAAGGAAGTTGAAATATTGTGAATCCTAAGAATGTCCTACCACTTAGTTATCTATAAAGGCTGCGTAATCGTAAAACGTACAAAATAGATACTTCGATAGCGATCGTATCTTTTCCTTCAGCCTTTTCCTTTTTTCTTTCCTTTTTACTTTCATCATAGAATACAAGAGCATGAGAAGAAAAAACAAAATATATATATATATATATATATATATATATATATATATTTATACACACACACACATACACACACACACAATATATAAGGATGATTTAAAAAATGTGATCTCATTTGATGAGCAATTAATGATTCGTATTTTCCTTCGGAAAGAAAAAAAGATATTATGCGATTGATAAGACCTTATCCTTCTTTTCTTCAAACTATTTCTTTTAATACAACTAGTTCCTTCACGGGTTCGCGCGTATCCTGTGCTTATTTAAGCTCAATGATCTTTGCAGTTCATAACTTATACTGGTAAAAGATGATTAACGTTACTATTTTGTAATATTTTTAATATATAATACATTGTATATACCGATTGGTAAATTTATATTTACTAATAATCCTTCATTAAATCAATATTTTCTTTTAAACGGTAATGGATTGATTTTTTTAATATATGTAAAATAAATATTACGTATGTTCATAGGTGGATTCTCGAAAGCTTGGAAACCCCTTTATCGTTTCTTAAGACGTCTCTATGGACCCGTCGATCGTGCAGAAAATCTTTTTCTAAGAATGAAAAACATTTCCGTGATGGCAAATCAAATAGTTTTCTTGATGCTCGCAGATAAAGTTTTGGTACCGAAGGAAAGAATGACCTGCCTTTACACTCTTATGTTTTATAACGTTATCGCTTATTGCGTGAGCTACATAAAGGAACTGATCGAAAAGGAAGACTGGACACCTTATGTTACTTTAACAGAGAGATCGCAGATCAAACATCTCGCTATGTCGGCCACGAAGATTGTCTTAGAATGGACCAAGGCCGTTACATTCGTTGTTACTCTGACCTTCATGCTCCTCGTATTCGGTTTGGAACAAGGACTCGAACATTATAAGTAAGTCTTCCGGTAATTCTTTTATTCTCACAATCAACAAATGCGAGAGCATTACCTTGACGTTCAAAAAGAAAATATCATTGCTGACACAGATTCTTGGAGTCTTTCAGGACGGATAATATGTCGGATCATAAATTAAAACATAATTCCTTTCAATTATATTATATTTATTAAAACATTATAATATTCTTATTGTTTAAATAACAGTTCATAGATATTTTTATTTTATTATACAGGCCCTCCACGTTGTATACCGTATTGACTTGGATTTATTATTCGGCAACGGAAAAGGTCTTCGTCGACATGTTCCCAACGATTCTAGGATATCTACAACTGGAAGCATTGGAAAACATCGAAAATCTTTATGCTCCTGTGATATTAAGATACTTTACTATTGGTATATCAGCTTTCTTCAGTCTTATACTCTTACCAACGGCACCCTGGAGATTCCTTTTTGTTGCAACTTATCTAAACGTTTATCTGAGATGGAAGGAACTTATGCAAAACTCTGGGGCAGCGTTAAAACGCGAACGGGAGATATTAAATCGATATAGGAAGGCCACTGTGGAGGAAATCGATAGGTTCGACGATGTCTGCTCCGTTTGCCTTTGTATCATGACAAAAGCCAGGGTGACACCCTGCCATCATCTCTTCCATGCGGATTGCCTCAGGCAATGTTTAAAGACTAGCGACAGCTGTCCCATGTGCAAGCGAGAACTTAAGTTCGACTGAAATACTACGTGCTACACACGTTAATGGAAAAGAAATGTATATACATATATACGTTCGTTCCTTTTTATTTTTATTACTTTTTACTATTCTGTCGTGTTAAGTTCCACTCAGAGAATAATCCTTCTATACGTCCAATCAACATTTACAATCAGAGATCGAATCGCCGTTTTGGATAGTATACGTTATATTTTTAATAGAAATTGAAAAGGAGAACTTTTTTTCGAATATCCATATAAGATGTATCTTTATACATCTCATTCCATTACTTATTCCATCTTATTTGTACAAGTAAAATCTACTAAATTCTTTTATTTATTCAGATTAGTATTTCAGTTCGAAACTTGGGTATAGATAACTTTAAATAAAAGATAATACATTTTATACTGACATACATCAAAGCATCCTAAACAACATATAAGAACGAATGTTCCTTTAAGCATACACTGTTCTGTGATATATAAAAAAGGATATAAAAAACATCTTTTCTCTGAATAAATGTTAATAAAGAAATCACCATGTCTTTTATATATGTATATATATATATATATATATATGTATATATATATAGTTTGTAGTTATACTATATATACTCTATACTATATAATCTTTTTATAGTATAGTACTATGATTATAAAAATTGGTAAAGTTTGCTAATATTTTATATTGATAACATTAATTTTTATCTTATTTATACATACAATTTAATTAAAATCTCGTTTAACTTAGTTACGTTTCACCCGGATATTTTATTGTCATATCTATATATTCCCCATCTGGACTATCATAGTTTTGTATTGGTGGTGTATGACAAGGACCTTGTTTTAAATATGGCAAAAAGGTAAGATCAATCTAAAATAACAAATACTTGCGTACTTGCAGTTAAAGATAATAAAAGAAATAATTTAATACAATAAACAAAACATATACCTGTATCGCTTCATTATATAATTCTTCTGATTCAGCTTTTAGCTCTTTCAGTGCTCTGTTTTGAGACAACATTAACTCTTCTATTGTTTGAATATCATTCTTATGTTGTTTGGTTTTATATCTAGTCCATTCTTTTTGTAACAATACTCTTTTATCTTCTTCCTCTTCGGATAAAGATGGAAAGATACGTTTCCTTTGTCTATATAAGAAAAATTAAAAGCTTTAAAGTCGGCAATAAACAAAACGACAATAATTAATAAATTCCTGATATTACTCTTTCTCATTTTTTAAGAATAATGGTATTTCCAATTCACTAATGGGCTTTAATTTTTTAGCAAATTTTTGTAAACGACGAATTGACTTTTCCAATTTCTTTTTTTTTCTTTCTTCTCTTTGTCTAATTATAGCTGGATCTAATTTCTTCTTCTTTTTCAATGGTTCTGCGCTGTGTACATAAGTTATTGATCATTTCAAATATAGTTATTAATTTGTTGTCAGACAATATTAAATTATATTTAAGCAATGTTATGAAAATACATACAGAAGCATATTAGTTATACCAAACTGTAGTGGGTTACCATAAGTAGATATATTACGTATACTTGTGATAGCACATTTAGATAATCTGTAAAAAAAATTTCAAATAATTTAATAGTCTATTAATATATTATCGTAATTAATATAATTATATAATTTCATCTATATTTTGAGTATTTATACAATTATGTTCGATACGAACTAACCCCATTTTTTCTTATTTGAAATGTATATATATTTGCATATTATTACCAAATTTTCCATAATTTTATAAAAAGCTAAAATATATTAATACCTTGAAAATACAGGTAAAACACTAAGAAGACCCATATTTTTGTTTACTTGGATTACATCAGATCACAGTGAAACGTTTATTGCGGTATCGCTTTTAACAGAAGCGATTTTTTATTTCCTATATTCAATAAATTAAAATAAAAAAGGTTACTCAACTTTTTTTTTTTATTAAACAAATACTAAACATTACCTTTAAAACAATATTCTACTCGCTCATCTTTTTTATTTAAAAAAGAAAGGTATAAAATATAAATTAAATATAATAACCTATAACACTTCCCTCACAAATATATGTGTGTACATTATGAAGGAAACTAAACTCTCAACGATTTGATTTAAACGCCGCCATTGGTTAGAATATGAAACACTATTTCCAAATCAGAAATCGTACGTATACATTAGTAAGATTATTGTTGTTAAAAGAAGGAAGAGTTAGAATCTTTTATTGCATTGGTATATTTACATATTTTAATATATTCTTTGTATATGTATGTAATATATTGATTATTTATATGTATATATAAATATCAAGATACATCTCATTATTATTAATTTCTGTAAAGTTTTTTAATTAAATTTATAGTTATTTTATCAAAACCGGGATTGTGTAATATTATAGAACAAATAAATATAATTAGAATATTTAAATAGAAGATATAAACATTTTTAAAAGATCATGTGTTCTTTAAATGCTTGTTCATGTGATTTTAATGATGACATCACACCAAAAATTGATGCAATACAAATTTTGTAAGTAATTTTTTTACAATTAATTCTAAAAAATGCATAATCATTAATAACATAACATAGTTTATTATACTTTGTAGACATTCCGATATATGCAAAAAGTGTCGGACTGATAGCAGTGAAATAATATTAAGAAAAAAGGATGGATATTGCACATCTTGTTTTTTAATGAATACAACGCACAAGTTCAGAGCAGCTCTTGGTAAATCAAAAATCATCCATCGAGGAGATACAATACTTATTGGATATTGTGGTAGAGACAATTCAACTGCACTGCTACATTTGATTAAATCTGGAATGAGTGAAACGACTCACAAAAAAATTATATTTAATGTAGTCATATTTTTTATTAATGGTAAAATATTTTCATTTTACTATAAGTCAAATTTTGCTTAAAAGGTTTTTATAAAAAGAAAATTCTTTCGATATTGTTTACAGATGGGATCGTAGAAGAATATACAGTAAATGAAAGAAAAAAAATGTTAGATACAATAGCTAAACAAGTGAAAATGTTTGGATTTGTAGGATATACAGCATCTTTACAAGAATCTTTGTGTGAAAATGATATTCCAAATATTTATCTGATGGATGATCCAGAAGTTGTAATAGATGAAAATGACGTTATATCAAATATGCTTAATAATTTACCTGATGATAGTGCGAGGGAAGAATTATTACGGCAGTTACGTCACAGACTACTTATCTTAGCCGCAAGAAAATTAGAATGCAATAAAGTATTTGTTGCTGATTGTGCAACAAATATTGCTGTAAATATATTAAGTGATATATCACTTGGTCGTGGTGCTCAGCTTTCTCCAGATATAGATTTTTCTGATACAAGATATACGGATGTTATGCTTCTAAGACCAATGAAAGATTTTACAAAAGAGGAAATAATCAATTATTTAAATTGTAATAAGTTAAATGCTGTACGATCTAGTAAACAAAATAATATGAATTTGTCAACTTCTATACAAGCATTAACAAATAAATTCATATCTCAATTAAATTCAGAGTTTCATGGAACTGTATCTACAGTTTTTCGCACAGGTGGAAAATTATCAACAGAATTACTTGCGTGTCAAAATTTAGAAAAAAATTCAGTATGTGCTCTTTGTAACATACCTTTAGATACAAAGGTAACAAATGATGAAATATCAGCTTTGCAAGGAACAACATTTTCTGCTCTTTTATCATCAAATAACATAGATATTGATAATACCAAAGAAAAAACCAATGATTTACTTAATGTTAATCCAGAGGAATTAACAGTACAAATAAATCACTCTGAAGAAAATAATAAAAATGAACACAATAATAGTAATATTACTAATGGAAAAGAATGTACTTGGAATGTCAAAGAATACAAAAAATGTAAGACACAATCTCTCAGCTTAAATGATATATTAAAACATCTTTGTTATTCTTGTCGATTGATCTTTCGATCTTCTGACATAAAATCTATACCTTTATTTGTATTGAATACTATTCAAACAAGATTATAATATGAAATTAGGCCGAATTAAATCACAGATTTATTATTATAATTACTAATTTACATAATAAAACGAAATTGTTTTTTGATTTTAAGTTTTTTATTACATATTTTTTTCTAACCAGTTAAATGTCCCACGTATTTAGAATTCAATATGGCTGCTATGATATACAAGCAAATATTGTAAGATAGAAGATACTCATCTGTGTAGTCGTTACCAATCAGTAACTATCATATTTACTACTAATAATCATTTGTTCGACAGTTAATAACAAATTGCATTACACAAGAATTTAGAAATTTATATCAGGTAAGTATCTAATATGGAATATAAATCGAGAAAGGTTAGTAACGTGAATTTTATAAAATCTTGTCTAAAATTATGTAATAATGTCAATGTAAAAATTATATAAAACTAAATTTGTAAAATTGACACAATAATAAATGCAAAATTAATTATATTTTTAAATTTATAAAGGCAATATATCTTTTCAACAGTTAAAGTAACACATATAGATTATTTTCAATTTACTTTGATTTATTCTAGAAAATTCAGCTTTTGGATTAGTGAGAAAATAAAAAGATAATATTATATCATATCATAAAAAGATGATATTAAGGTTTTAATATCTTACAAAAAGAATTTTAAAAATCATCAAATATTTAATAATGATTTAAGGTATGTTTATAATAAAATTGTATGATACAAAAAATATATATTATTGTTTTAGGTTTATTATGGAGTCATATGTCGAGAAAATTCCATTAATAACAACTTCAATCTCAAGTCATTACCGACGGACTTTTAATGTTCAACTGGTACCTAAATGTGCAGATTTTGAACTAAAAGCAATAGAGTGTTATGAAGCTTATGGCTATCAGGGGGGGCGAAAGAAACAGTTATGTCAAGACTATCTTGCTGATCTTAAAGAATGTTTATTTAAAAGAAAGTCTATACTTCGATTACAAACAATGCACGAGGAAAGAATGCGCCAATACAAAGAAGGAATTAGAAAGAAAGAAGATATTTTTGCTCCATCACCGCCTCAAGACTCGTTATAAACATGTCATGATTCTTAAAATGAGATATAGTCTTTATTAAAAAATGTATGTAACGTAAATAAACATTTAAATATATTAAAATCTATCCGTTCTTAACCCATTATAAGAAACAGATCATATATACAATACAATATAAATTATTCTAAAAAACAATAAAATCTAAAGCATAATTAAAAATATTACTTATTTCATCTAGAAATTCAATGAAAAATTGTAAATGTAATAATCATTACGTCATTTTTACCAAGATTTGTTCTATCTTCGAAAAAAAGAATTATTATTAATGATTACAAAAGAAAAAATTTCAAATGATTACAGGCATTCGTTTAAGAATCGCATTTTTCTTATACGTTTGAATCTTTGAACAAATATGATTTCATTCGGATGCATATTTTAACAAACGATTATTGCAAATATAAAAAAAAAATTATTTTGAATGAAGAGTTCGTAACAAGGAACAATTCGTAAAAAGTTGAAAAATATTAAAATCGATAATTATAAAACAGTTAAAAATTTGACAGACGAAGAAGTGGGCTTAAAGAAGGAAAATAGAGAAAGAAGAGCCGTAACAGGCAACCAACAGATGGCGAGAGTTGAGGAAAAGATCGAAGGGATAAACGGTGGTGGCGGTGGTGGCGGTGGTAATGGTGGTGTTGGTAAGGTGCACCTGTCTGTCATCGCCGCCGAGCGCCGACTGTCAATCTGACTGACGCTCTACAGTTCGCACATAGATAGAAGCGAAAGAATTCTTGGTTATACAAAGAGGATAGACGCAAGAAAAGGAAAGGAAGAAGGATAAGGTGGGAAGGAAGAACAAAAACGTGACTATCGAAAGTCGTTAACGATACACACGCCGGTAAGTTCATATTCGTATTCGTTCTCGTTGCCGTTCTCGTTCTCTTTATTGTCGTTGTTGTTTTCGCGAGAGAGCAAAAAAAAAAGGTTAAATAGAAGAAGAAGATAGCCGAAGGGTCAAAAAAGACTTGTGGCTGCGACGGCGTGGACGCGTGCCTCGTTACATCGTGCTCACCGGGCCGCGCGCGCGCTCGTCTCGAGAGAAAAGGGGGGAAAAACGGCGTGGGCTCGACAAAGCGCGGGAATCGCAACGTCCTCTTCATCGACGACGTACGATAATATACTTCTACGTGCTTTTCATTATTTTCCTTCTTCGAGGAAACGACATCGACGAGATTGCTCCTAACATTTTACGACTAAAGCGAAATCCACTTTCTTCTGTTTGACAGCTCGTGTTTGACGGTGTAAACAACGTCGCTGCTACACTCCGGTCTGGCGCGCATACATTGCATCTACGTCGGTCTACCCGCTATGGATCATCGTATCGGTAAGTAATCGAATTTATTCCTTTTTAATATCTCAACAAATTAATTCGCAAAGGTGTTGAAAGATACAGAAAAAAACAAAAATTAAAAGAATCGTCTATCGAGAAAATCATAAGAATCGAGAAAACGACTTGTGCGAAAACTTGCGTCTAAGATTAGTGTATGTTTATATGTGCACGTGTTATATGTGTATCTCTTTATGTGAATGTCGAATTTCCGGCGTCAGACGCCACTGGCGCGAGCGGAGCAGACACGTGGTGGCGCGCAAAGCCTTCCGTAAGCGCGCCACGGGGCTCACTTGACTATCGCCAAGGATTCTGCTTCTTTCACGCACTCTCTACCAGCGGATTTCGTGCTTCGCCGGCTGTCAACCCGTCTTCTCTCTTTCTCTCACTTAAGAAAGATTGCGCGCGAGTTTGTACGCGGCGTCCCTTCTACCATCTCTCTCTCTCTCTCTCTCTCTCTCTCTCTCTCTCTCTCTCTCTCTCTCTCTCTCTCTCACTCACTCACTCACTCACTCACTCACTCTCTCTTTTTCTCTCTCTCTCTCTCTCTCTCTCTCTCTCTCTCTCTCTCTCTCATTCTCTTAACGCGTTACTGCGTGATATCTCGAAATGCGAAAATTCGTGAAAGCAAGAAACTCCAATGATCAATGCAATTAAAAATTTTCTCTTATTATTTTAACGAATGAAGACTTCCTTTTATTTTTTACGATAATGAAAAGATCTATAAAGGAGGATATACGAAGTCCTTCTATTAAAACCACGTATTATATTAAATCGTTCGTACATTATCACAGTTAGAGTTAGTCTCTTGTCATCGACATTTTATCGACTTCGTTGTTCATATATATATATATATATATATATATATATATATATATATATATATATATATATATTCAATATATATTGAATAATAACGACAATATAGTTGATGTCACCGTGTCTAAAAAATATCGAATGTTATTTACTTAGTAAACCAACGACGAGAAAAAGAGAAAGAGAAAAGTGAGGTTACTTCGATTGCTCCATGTTGTCTGTTTTTCGGCCGGAAATGAAACGTGCTTTATCGCATGACTTTCGATGGATATTACTTTCGTCCGTTCTATTGATATACTTTATAAATATGTGTATACAATATCGTTATAAATCAGACACGATTGTTGAATTATTCGTATTTTCATGTTGAACATGTGCCTCTTAATAGATAATATGTCGAAAGATCGATAAAGGTTACATGTTCAAAAGCGAGAGAGAGAGAGAGAGAGAGAGAGAGAGAGAGAGAGAAAAGAATTATTTACTTCGATTTGTCTTTTTTCTCGTTTACAATAAACGACTTTTCCTTCTTTCCTCGTGGAGGTAGATTCCGTTTCCGGCGGATGCGAATATTACACTGCTTTGAACACGCTCTGTCTTTCTTTTATCTTCTTTTACATTAATTTACTGTTTTTCTTTTATATATATTCTATTGTATTATTAAATTATATATATAATATAATAGAATATATTATTTTTAATTCATTAAATAGATACATCATTTAGAATAAAATATATTCTTTTTGATTAGGAATATTATTATATATAGATAAATTCGTAATTGAAAAATAAAAAAGTTAAAAGAAGAAAAAAAAAGAAAAAGAAATATGTATATATATGCGTTGTAATACCACATTTAATTTATTGCAACTTTATCATTTTTACGAATACGAATTATTGCAATCATAAAATATTGCACAGAGAAATATCTTATGGTGATAAAACGAAGAACGTTCTGGTCGAGTAAAATGGACAGCAAGTCGCTTCGTGCTGATTACTTCGTAACTAATTCTTAACCAATTAACAACTAAGCGTATTCATGGACAGCAATCTATATTATGTGTATATACGCCTATACTATAATATGTATATCTATATTTAACAAAAATATGTATTTCTATACGTATAGACTTGTATAGCGATCTACGTATCATCGACCTCGGTATTCGCCCTTTTATCACGCTAATTTATCGATATTTTATAGTCTTTTAATTACAATACGTAGCACAATGAAGCTTCGTACAAGACTGAACCGCATATCCGGCTTTCAAATTTGCCTGCTTCACAAATTACTTTCGATGCTGAAAGACGATGCTGAAAGAAACGTTTCAAGTTAATATACATACATACATGTTTATAATGAAATTAATGCTTTCTTCTTCGTGTCGATCACGCTTTAATCTTTAGGAAAAAAACATCTCTTTCAAGATACTTTTTTTTTCCTTTAATCTCTCCCCGGTTTATTCGTTAATGTAATTGTGCAATGTTAAAAAATTTTACAAATTTTTTAATTTTGTATTTTCTTGGGAATTCTTTATTCCTTCGTTATGTAAAAGATGAAAGAATACAGAAAGAAAATATCGGGACTATTCGATAATTGTCTTTGAAATTAGATAATCCTTTTCTGGCAATATCTCAAAAAGTTTTGCAACTATTTCATGATGTTTTCGTACATCGATAAAATTTCGCTCTGAGGTCGCGTCTAATCTTTCAATCGTATTTATTTTTTACAGAGAAAAAAACTTCGACTATATTTTCTAACTAAAAAAAAATTTTTTTTTTATTTACCTAACTCATAATCATTACATTTACGATAACATTTCTCAAAATTGTTCAAATCGTAAGATCGTGGTAACCATAAAAGGAATAATTAACCATAAAAGGAATTTATGCTTAATGCAAAAATAAAATATATTTTAATATATCTCGCGACATGATTGATTACATTATTATCACATTGATATATTCTCCGCGTTCTAAACAGCAAATATTTTTAATCAAGTAATATTTTAAATTAATTGAAGTATTTAAAATTAGATAGGAAAGAGGAACTGAATTATATACCGAATTAATGATTTGTATATATCATAAATAAATAAATAGATAAAAGATACAAAATATTTTGAACGAATTAAATAAAATTTTTATTAACGAAAGAAAATTGGAAAAGATTGATGAGATGATCGTAGTCGTAGCAAAGATCGCGAGGGCGTCGAAGTGAAATAATGGGAACAGGTGCCGCCACAGAGGCGCGCGTTAAGTCCAAATAGCACGAAGTTATTCTTGTCATTCGGTTACGTACCATGCATTATTTCAAGTTTACCACCGAGGAGCAATCTTTTTGACGTTTATTCGTAGACCAATATTAATTGTAAAAATTATGAGGAATTCATTTAGAAATGATTTCACAGGAATGTTTTTCTTTTATTCATTAAAATATCTTACAAAAAATAAATTTAATCGATAGAAAGATTATAATATGCAAGATGCAAACTTAAAAAACGAATATCTTTTTATCTCTCGATTAGATAGATCTTGAATTAAATAATAGTATTCAGTAAACCATAGATCAGCCGATCGCGTTAGATTAATATATGCTAACGATTTATGTATATCGTAAGATAAAAACGGTAAGTAAAATGACATTAAAGTGATTATTTTCATCTTGTTATTCATTTAATAATTGCAATTAAAATTACAATCTAAATGTTCGTTGCGAGGGAGATAAAAGATTCTCATGTAATAACACAATATGGAATAGAAAAGGATACATAAAAGAAATAAAAAAGAAAAAAAGAAAGGAAAATCAAATTTAAATCATAAAAAAGAAAATTATGTCTACAGAATGAATTTTAAATGAACGGTTCAATGGATTTCTGAATTTGGAATATATTGGAAGGGGACTCAATTTCGACCTAACGTG